TTATGACCACCACCATTTTTTAGAAATGATTTTTAAACTGAAGTTACATTGTCACTCATCGTGTATCTCAATGGCCGGTGCAGTGCGTATTATGCAGGAGCCCCCAATGAGATTAGAGCCCGAAAAGGACTTTTTTTTATTTATTTATTTTTGTACTTTTTATTTTTTTCTACCTAAGTTATATTGTCAATCATCAACTATAATAATCGACAGGGCCGGTGCTTACTAACCACGAACCTCTTAAACCTCGTGCCCCGCCAATGCCTACGGGGGTGGGGGTCGGGGGGTAGAAGTGCTAATTTCATTAGCGATTATTTTATAAGAATTTTTTGTTTCTTTCTTTCTTTTTTCTTCTCACTCTCCTACCAACTCCTTGTGCCAGACACAAAATTTAGTTGGCAGAAGAAACGATAGCTGCCGTTAGTAAGCGCGAGTTAAAATTACAAGACAAATCACTGCGTAAAATTTTAAAACAGGAAAAAATTTATTGTACAATTATTTTACAATAAGCACAAAGGTACAAATAAGAACAAGAAAGGTTGCACAAAATTTTCCTTTTGTGCGCCTAACACGGCAGGATAACAATATTTTCCTGGGGTTTCTAAAAAGGAAATACCCACAGAAACAAGCTATGAAATTAATAATTGTTTACTTTAACTCCGGTTTTTGAAAATTCAGACCCTTCAAAAATACAAAAAACACCAAAAGAAGGGATAAAGTTTTCAGACCCTTTACAACAATACAAAAAAAAAGGGACAAAGTTTTAGAGCTTTTACAAAAGTACAAAAAAGGGACAGAGTTTTTAGAGAGACCAACACTTAGCAGAACGCAAAGCACCCACCTCCTTTCTTTGGAGAATTTTCGTTGACAGCAGGCCGGATTGGTTTGGTAGTTGGAGAAAGCCTGATTTATGGCCCACTTGCCGATCAATGTCCTCTCTTTTATTTGGAAGAGTCGGCTCCACTTGGGGCAATCCGGAATTTCTACGGGTCTCGAAAACTTAATTTTCATTGGCCAATATATGAAAAAAAAGGCTCTTCTAAAAATGTCACTCTTGGCGGCTATTCCTGATCCGAAAGGGTCATAAATTTTACACAAGAAAATCAGAGTTTGGCAAACAATTTTGGCGGCAAATCTTGATCCGAAATGGTCATAAAAATTGCACAGTTTTTTCTTTTTTACACACACCGTCCGGCTTACAAAAAAATACACCTTCCTCAAAAGACGTGTAAATAAACAAAGAAAAAAACAAAAAGAAACAACACCTAGACGGTCAGACGGTCATTTTTAAATTGACATTTTTTTTTTAACTCTTTCTTTAAATAAAAATAAAATTTTTATAATTTTTTTAAATTGTAATTTACTTTATGAACATTTCTTTTAAATTAATTAGGAGGGTAATATATCCCGGTAAAATCATTTTTTACATTTCTAAAAAGATAAACTTCTTCATTAACATTATCAATAGTTTCTTGGACTTTTTAAAAATATGAATTGTTTCCCTTTTGCCACGATTTTTCAGAAGCGTATAAGTTATGTTTACTTGATAGGATTGTTTTTGTTTTTTTTTTACTTTTGTAATAGCATGTGTTGAAGTGATTTTTGTTTTTCTATGTTCAGTTAAAAATCTAATCATTTTCTGTTATTTTTGTCTGTTGAAACACTAAATAATTCCAAAGCAAATATACTTTGCTACTGCCGTTTATTTTATAAGTACAACACCGCCAGTACACCGACTAATTTTGCCCCGACTTCAATAAACTTCAATCAAAACACGTGCTTCTTTCAATAATTAAAGAGCACAAAACAGAAGAAAATACACCAAGACATCCCTTCGATTGAGGTTTCAGCTGATCCACGTAAAAGATATACAACATAAAAGTTAACTACACCAACTGGTAATTGTTTTTATTGAATTACATCATTTATTTATTTTTTATTTTACTTCCCCTTTTGCGGTCTTTTCTTTATCGTACGAATGCAAAGTAACAATACAGTTTTTCTACAGTTTAAATTTTAAAACGGTGTAAAAATATTTCTCTGTCATTACCCTAAAAAAAAAAAAAAACTAGCAATAAGTTTCGTTTCACTTATTTTCGTTTAATGGAAAGTAAAACAAAGTAACTAAATTTTAAAACTTTTCAAAACTAATCTTTCCGTAAGTTGAGACTTAAGCCCGCCCCGACTCAAACGAAATAATACAAAGCTGGGTTTGAAAAGTGGGAGTCCGAAGCCCACATCAAACCAGGGATAAAGATTTCTCTGTTCCCACATTTCCATTTCGGATGCCTGGGGCACTAGATACTAAAAATCCTAGCCCTCCTACTTTTTATAAACGCCACCTCTACACCTGAGTAGTATAGGCGAATGTTGGTGCTGTGACAGTAAGAATAGGGCGCTCCTGCTAATAAGCTATAAGTTTTATTTTAATATTTATTAGCTCCTGCTAATAATCCATAAGTTTTATTTTGCCTTGTAATAGATAGCAGTCTGGTAAAATACCATCTAATATGAAAGAGTATATACAAAGCAGAGCTGTACCATTGAGCTTCTCCATGTGGAAAAACTTCCACCCATTAACATTTATCAATACCTTCCAAATGTTTACACTTTACAGAGACCAAACAATGGATATGAACACAAGTGAATGATGTGTAATGCATTTCAATAGTAGTGAATATTCAGAACCAATAGTGGTGACTATTTGGAAAAAAAAATTATGTTTAATATGTGAAAGCTTGCTCTATCCAATGGTGTCATTGTGTTCCCCCTGTATCCACTACAGCTTCTGTAACAATAAATTACTTACAGAACATTTCTTGTATGTGTCTTACATTTTCTTAGACTTTTGCAGGAGATACAACTCCTTAGTATAAAGATTTTTGAACAGGTGTAAAGGAGTACTTCTTTTATATACAATGCTTCTTCAGGATGCAGATGATCATGTCTCTAGACAATTTCCTATACTTTGCGCCTTGTAGCATTGTTTGCATGTTTGTTTTTCTGCAATATTTTAAACTAAAAGTAAGTAATATTTGTTTTAATTCAGATTAATTAAACTTTAAACATTTAATCTTCCTCAAATAAAGTTTTGGAAACATATATATTTTCATTTTGAAAGATTTTTTAATAAAGAGAATTATGTGGTGTTGACAAATTTGTCACAATGGCTGATTTTAGCGATTTAAAAAGAAAACTCATTCCAGTCAATTTAAATTTGGTTTCAAATACAGAAAAGTATTTTGCTTATTGGAAATATTAAATTTAATCCATCAAATTCAATTCTCGCCACTAAACAAAAATAAAAGACCTTTAATTTCGAACTGAAATTAATTTAAATACAGTCAACAAACACCGAACACACTTTTGACTGTAATTAATACGGCCCGAAATTAATTATATTCATTTACTTGTTTAGCGTCACCACTTTCTCTTGTATGAACCGTCATATCTAGATGCCCGAGACTTCGCAGCGGTTTTTAGCCGGCCCGGGGGAGCAGCCCGGCCTTCGGGCTACCCATGGCAAAGTCTAGTTTGGACCATATCAGGACCTGCTAAGACAAGCCAAGACCAACTTGGACCAGAACTTGACTAAGCTTTGACCAGCTTGGACATGTTATGACCAATCCAAAACCATTGACCCTAAGTTTTGACCAGCTTGGGTTTTTTATGAAAAACGACCTTGTGACCACGACTTGACCGCGGGAGCAAGTTTTTCCCACGAAAAAAACGACCTTGTGTCACATCTTGACCGCGTGGGGAGTCAAGTAATCCCACGAAAACGACCTTGTGTCACATCTTGACCCATGGCAAAGTCTAAATTGGACCATCCCCAGGACCTGCTTTGACAAGCCAAGACGTCGACCAGAGCCCAGCAGCAGTAGGACATGTTGTGACCAAAACATTTTTTAAGCCTTGACCAGCTTGGTCATTCGATGACCAATCTTTGAGGCTCCCTATGCGGAAACCCTGCAGTTTTTCCAGCACGAAAAAAACCTTGTGTCATCCTGACCGCTTGGAGCAAGTAATCCCACGAAAGCATCTTGTGTCCCATCTCCTGCAGCCTCAAGCAACACCGCCTCCCTGATTCGCGACTTTGCAGCTTCCAGTCTCGACCAAGCCCAGCAGCAGTAGCAGCAGTTGTTCAAAAGTCCTTTTCCAGGGCTAACTTCCTGCAGTATCATTCGATCCACTCTCCAGGCTCCACCTCACTCCTGCAGCTTCCAGCATCCTGCAACCTTCAGCTCCTCCTGCAGCATCCAGCCCACTCCTGCAGCCTCCAGCACCCCTGCGGCTTCCAGCTCTCTCCTGCAGCTTCCAGCTCACTCCTGCAGCTTCCAGCACTCCTGCAGCATCCAGCTCACCCCAACAGCTTCCAGCGGCCTCCAGCTCACCCCTGCAGCGCTCTACTGACGTCCCGCTACCTATTCCAGCACCCGCTGACGACCTAATCCAGTGCCCCTGACGTCCAGCCCGTTATTGCCCGTTATTGTTCCGGACACCTCGTACCATCCCTGAACAAACGATTTCCATCATCTACAGCGGACCATTTGTCATCCTTCTTTGCTATTGCCAACTCCTTGCCTTTGTGTCCCCTGTTTTGGTTATGCGGTCGATTGGCACTCCACCTCTCGCCCGCTGCAACAAGTGGTGACCCGGCGTGATTTATGGACACAGGCAAACGGCTAGCAGAGAAGATGGCGGAACACACGAAACAGAAATCAACACATCAGCCGCCCTGATACAACTACCGCCATACAACTCGATCAACACCAGAAGTTGGTTTATTCAACTTGAGGCGATATTTTCAGCACTTAAAGGTCACCGACAGGACACTAAATACGCCTCCATGGTACAAGCCTTACCAGCATCAATCGTTGAAGAAGTGGAAGACATCCTTCTCAATACCCCGGACCAACTCCCATACACCTGCCTCAAAGAAGCCATCCTGAAACGAACTGGACGTTCGGACGAAGACCTCATCAGAGACTTATTCTCTAATGTGTCTCGGCGATAGGACACCATCCCAGCTCCTCCGCCCTGATGAAGAGCCGCCTGGGGAACAACACCATGGCAGAACCCATCCTCCGAGGGCTATGGATGGATCGGTTACCACCGAATATAACACAAGTTCTAGCCCTGGTACCAGTAGAGACGCCCTTGACGTTGTGGCCGACTCAGCCAACAAAATATATTCCCAAGCTCACCAAAAAGTTCACCAGGTTGAGAGCCACAGGGAACCACACAACGCCTCAAGAAGAGATGACCCAGCGACGTGCAGAGTTGAGAGACCTGAAACTCTCCCTATGCCGGAGGCAGCGAAGTTCCAGCACCACGACGACGCCGGGGGCCGCACCTGCAGCTCAAGTCCAGGACGGAGAAACAGTGTGGACGAATGTTGGTACCACCAAACCTTCGTGACCGAGCCCAACAATGCCACCCTCCTGCAGACTTAATAATGCCCAGGAAACGAATAGACCGACAGGCAGCGGCAGACGCATCCCTGTTGGTACTTCGCTCACACAGTCGTCTCTTCACGTGTGGGACCGTAACAATGGCCTCAAATTCTAGTTGACACTGGCGCAGCCATCAGCGTGAATACCACCCACCAACAGATCCGCCTTTGAAACCCACCCCATTCCAACTTCGGTGGCAAACGGCTCCCCCATAGAAACCTATGGGAACAAGGAACTTACCTTGAACATCAACCTCAGGCGCGACTTCAAGTGGTCATTCACCGTAGCTGACGTCAGGATACCCTTGCTCGGTGCCGACTTCTTGGCACATTACAACCTGGCTGTCCATATGAAGACAAGGACCCTGTCCGACAACATGACAATGATCAAGATCACAGGGATCCCATCGAGCTTCAACACAACTAGGATCAGCGTGGCAACACCCACGACCCCCACTAGAAATCCTGCGCGGTACAAGCACCTCCGTAACCCATCAAACCAACGGATGCAGGTGACCATCAGACCCAACACCATATAAAGACCACCGGACAACCAGCATATTCCACGGCCATGACGACTCCTCCACACAAATTAGCATATGCCAAGAAAGCGTTTGAGGAGTTGCTGGCCGACAATATCATCGACCCTCAGACAGCCCATATGCCTCACCACTGCATCTGGTACCCCAAATGACGGGATTTATCCCGGATGCTCAAAACTCCTCACCCCCCTGACAAATCTTCTCCAGAGAAAAAAACAAAGCCATCACCCTGGAGGGCGACCAGGAAAAAATCATTCCAAGCAGCAAAAAACTTTTTAGCTAACTTTTACGGTTAGCACATCTTAACGAAGACACCCGGACTCAGACATATCTAACAACAGATGCCTCAGACACTGGAGTTGGAGCTGTGGTAGAACAGGAGGTTGACGACCAACGCAAACCCATCGCATTCTTTCTCGCTAAATTATCACCAGCCCAGTCCAGATACAGCACCTTCTCGAAAAGAACTTTTGGCTATATACCTCGCCATCAAACACTTCCAACATCTACTGGAAGGCGGAATTTCACCGTTTTGACCGACCATAAACCTTTGACAACTTCCCTGCCGAACAACTCAGACAAATATAACGGCTCATGAGATCAGACATCTAGACTATATCTCACAGTTCACGTCTGATATTCGTTATGTCAAAGGAAAAGACAACTCTGTCGCCGATGCCCTATCCAGATTTGATGTCAACACAGTGCAAGACAGCCCACTCAGCCAGGACCTGATAGCAGAGGCCCAGGAGTCCGCATTTAACCCTCCCTGAAGTCCTAGCCAACACATCCCTGCAACTGAAAGAATTTCCGGCACCCTTCAGCAAACAAAATATTGTACTGCGATACAAAACTGGATCACCCCAGACCCTACATACCTCCGGCACTCAGAAGGCAAATTTTCAACCACCTCCACGGATTGTCACATCCCAGCAAGCGCTTCGGTCAAACTCATTGCCCGATCGTTTTTGTGTGGCCCAACATGAATACTGACATCCGTAATTGGGTATCAACGTGCCTTAAGTGCCAGAAATGCAAGGTACACCGGCACAAAAAAATCCCGCCAGGCACATTCAGCAACCCTGACGCACGTTTCAGCCACATCCACATCGACATAGTGGGACCTCTCCCAATGTGCCAGAATTATCAGTACCTCCTCACAGTGATTGACCGTTTCTCCAGGTGGCCAGTAACAGTACCCATCAGAGATACCTCGGCTAACACGGTAGCAAAGACCATTCTTCAGGAGTTGATCGCAATTTTTGGCGTACCCAGCATCATCACCACAGACTGCGGTGCGCAGTTCCACTCCTCACTCTTTCAGGAATTCACTCAACTGCTCGGCGTCAAACACATCAAGACCACCGCCTACCATCCCTGTGCCAACGGCCTTGTGGAAAGGTTCCACCGAACACTAAAGGCCTCTCTAACTACAAAACATCCCACCAGCAACTGGGTAGACGAGCTACCCCTAATCCTTTTGTCAATCTGCAACACACTCAAAGAAGACTTAGAATGCACTCCAGCCAAAATAGTCTTCAGTACAGCACTCTCTTTCCCGGCCAATATTTCGACGACACCATACCCAACCTAACCACTGCAAGTCCTTTCACTCAGGAACTTCGCCATAAAATGGCCCAACTGAAGTACACACCACCCAGGCAATCATCACCAACTATCCACGTTCCACGACAGCTTCAGGACTGCGAGTTCATTTTTGTCCGAAATGACGCGGTAAAGAAACCACTAACACCAACATACCAGGGTCCATTCAAAGTCTTAAAACGCTCTGAGAAGCATCTCACCATTGATCGAGGAAGCCGGACGGACACCATCTCCATCGACAAACCAGCCTTTCTGGAAAAATCTCACCCCAACAGCTTCCAGCGGCCTCCAGCTCACCCCTGCGGCGCTCTACTGACATCCCGCTACCTATTCCAGCACCCGCTGACGACCTAATCCAGTGCCCACTGACGTCCAGCGCCCGTTATTGTCCGGACACCGTTCCCGAACAAACGACCTCTGTCGTCTTACCATCCACCGTTCGCAAATAAAGACACGATTTCCATCGTCTACAACGGACCATCTGCGTTTGTCATCCTTCTTTGCTATTGCCAACTCCTTGCCTTTGTGTCCCCTGTTGTACGGTCGATTGACACTCACACCTCTTGGCCTGCTGCAGCAAGTTCATCAAAGTGAGAGATCAAAATTATGTTCTTTTTGTACATCTATACCAAAAATAATCTAACAGTTACTAAAGGGATAAAACAAAATTAAATTCTTTTAAAAAAGGTTCTCACGGAAAAATAGCATTAAACTTTACATTTTTTTAATCTTCAAACATGTCTTTATTTAATAAAAAAAAACTCTTGTGATGAACAGCAATAAGATGAATTTCAAGATCACACTGGAAAATTATAAGTCATTTTTGTTTAAAATAAATATTAAGTGTAGTTTTTTTTTTTTAATTATGTTTATTAAATTATGCAAGCACCAGTTCTCAAAAATAAATTATTTTTTGAGTTTTATTTAATTATTTTTGTTAACATACAGGATGAATTTTCCATATCTTTACACTTGATATTGCACTAATATTTTACTAAAATAATATCTTCAGGAATGTTTCTTTATATAAAATTGGATGAACACTTCCCCAAATTAAAAAAGCACACATAAGATATCGTAAAGGGAGTGGTAGAAACATGCCTCCCACCTAATATTTTCTCAATGTTTTTTAATAAAATAACCTAGTCGGTAAAAATGCATTCATTAATGAATAAGTACTGAAAATTTCTCTCATTTTTGGCAGATATTTGAAAATGGGGTAGCAATTTTTTTTTTTTTATTTCTGAAAAAAGCATCCATTTTGGTGGTACCTAAATTATACTTAGCATATTTTTGGAATGCTAAAAATATATATCACGTGAAAATTAATTTAAAAATCTTTGTTTATTTTGAATTGAAAATTATTCAATGACTAAAATGATAACATTCTTTAGTTAAATACTTTGGGGGCTAATATTCAGTGAATAGTATTTTGTTTCACAAATCAAAAAAATATAAATTCTCTCCAAAGTATTTTTAATAGGATATTAAAATTAATTTTTCATCATGTAACTGTTACATATTTAATATCTACAGAAGATATAATCTCAAGTCATCACTCTTCAATGATTTATTACAGAGTAAATTTATTCACTACTTTTAATTTCCAATAATTACTCAAACGAAAACAAAAAAAAATAATCCTAAATTAACTCTTGATTCTTGATAAGGTAACATACCTGGAAAGAAAAGAAAAAAAGGTTATTTTAAAATTTGTCATTATTCTTCCATATTTTCATGGGCTTAGGTGGGAAATAATTGACAAATGCATCAGTTATTCGCAAGAGTGGAAAGGGTTAACATCAAGCGCTTGATGTTTAACCAGAGTTCATGAAAAAAAATCAAGATCTGTTTCAGCAGAATTTGATTAATAAAATATTAAATTAACTTGTTTTGTAAAAAATTAGATTTTAAACACGTGTAAATTATTTTTAAGATTTTAAAAATTGAAACTTAATCTTTTCATTGACAAGCCAATCCATCATGTGGAAACCAAAATCACAAACAATAAAATTAGGTAACTCCAAAACTTATGGTCCAAACTTGATAAAAACAAAGTTTTATCATGAAAATGTTAAGAGGAAAGTATTTTTTGTTATTATTTTATTAAATTTTTTAATCCTTTCTACCACTTTCAAAAATTCGGTTAAAAATCTTGTTTTTCTTGCATCAGCAGGTAGGAAAAAAATAGCATAGGAAATTTTAACATCATTTTTTGGTGTTAAAAACACATTGTTTTAGAAATTCTTGTAAAAATCAAATAATTGTTGGATTTTAATGAAATTTTCAGGGCTCATTCAAAAATGAATAAAATTATTTTTGAAATTCTTTTTAGAAAATCTCGGTAAAAATATATTTTTCTTTTTTTACCTGTCTGTTACTCCCCCACTTACTTAATTTTATGAAATTTCAAGAAATTAAAATTTCACCCTCTTCATATTTATATTAATTAAAATCAAAACTCCTAGAAGAATTTAAATCATCAATTTGTTTTTGTCAAACAAACACCATTTACTGAAAATCTTCTCTGAATTGTAAAATAAAAAATACAAACTATGACATTATTTAATTAGAAAAGCTTTTAATTGTTTTTATAAATAAAATATATTAAGGACACTATTGTCTTAATGTAGCATCTTTTGTCGTCGCTGCCTACACCCAGTAGTGTAACCATGTTTAGTCGTCCAGTTCTCAAGGTCTTAGGACGATGCTTTAATCATGGGCTAACTCTGCACTTGTCAATGCTGATGCTGGTGCAAGCTGGTTGTTGGTCACTGGCTGCTTCAATCCATACTGTGTCTGCTCATGTTGTGTTCTTGATTTCAGAGCAATGGAAGATCAAAGCTTGTAGTCTCACAGTACCAGTCAAGCAGGTGCTATATTAAAGAAAGAAAATATCTTCACAACAAAAAATAAAAAGGGAGATTTGTGGAGTTAATCTTCAATTGGTTATTATAGGTCTTCATACAACAAACATTAACCCTTCCCACATCACTCTCTCTAATGACACTGGGTTTTGTCTAAACTTCTGGAGGGCTGGGTTCAAAGTCTTGGAATCAGGAATTTTGGTTGGCAGCTGACGTGGATTTTAGAGGCATTCAATGAAGGATCTCGGCCCAAAGTCTATGAGCTCCCCAAAGCCGTCTGTTTATATGCACTTTGGCCCAAAATTGGCATGGGGCTAAAGGGTTCTTCTTTGGCTAAACTTTTCCCTTTCTTCCTTCCTTCTCAGTATTCTAACTCTTTCCACTTCTCAGGGCACATAACTGTCTTTGTGACAAATCTAATTTTTAAAATGTGTAAGAGAAAGGGCATGGTTTATTCTCATCATTAATTTCAATTCTCTTACTCCTTTCGTACAAATCAGAACAATTTCTTGGCATGACATGATTAATCTTTATAGCCTCAACCCTAAGAAAAAGAGTTTGTTCCTTGTTTTCGTTTTCACCAATGAAAATATGATCCTCATCTGCTTCTCTTTCCACTAATAATGTGTTTTCCTAATTTCTCTCGAAAAAGATAAATTTATTTCCCAATCTGTTTTCATAAATGAGAATATATTTGTTTACCTAATTTCTCAACAAAAAGATTCTGTTTTCCATCCCTAGGCCGGTCTCCATCACATGCCTGTTATGATGGATCAATTTTCATAATCTTAACTTTCACAGTGGGTTCATTCCCTGTTTTTATTTCTTGATTTGTTTTCACTAATAAAAATATAATTCTCATTTGCTTTTCTGTTCTCCAGTGACATGTATTTTCCTAATTTCCCAAGAAAGAGATAAAATTGTTCCCCAAATCCGTTTTCCTTCACATACCAGATTCTCAATAGATAAGAAAAATAAACTTTAGGAGAGAAGAAATCCAGACAGTTCCATTCTCACCAATGAAAATGTCTTTTTTTTTTTTCTCTCTCTCTCTCTCATATTTCGGGCTTACCCCTTTTCTTTTCCTGCTTAGACTTAATATTTAACTACCTCACCTCCTCAGTGTCACATTAAGAAAAAAAATTTTTTTCAATGAATAATGAATTTTTCCAAGAATTGTTTTCATTTTTTTAATTTTAATTAGAAAGCTTTATTAAGTTTGAAATCTCTATTAATTTCAACCTTTTAGATGATATTATTATTAAGTGAAAACTATATTTACTAATCATAAATGGAAAAGCTTAATACAAATCATCAAACACCAATATTTTTAAATGAATTAAAAAAATTTTTTTGTAAGTATGGGTGACCATACACAACAGAAAAGAAGAGCTATAACTATTAGTAAATTTAAAGCCAACATTTTAAAAATTCAATAAAACATTAAATTACAGAGAATATTTTCTTAAATTTTTCAGATTACTGAATACTTAAAAATTATATAAAAAAGGTGCTAACATCATTTTCCTTAATTATGTTTAAAGATAAAGTCTCTCTAGAACAACATTAGAACTGTTATCAGGCTGTCAACACAGCTACTGTCAGATTAAAAAATGTATTTCTGTAAGATTTTAAATTTAAAGTAAATTATATTTGTTTAAAATCAGATTAATTATACTTTAAATCAGCTAATATTCCTCAAATAAAGTTTCAAATAAGTATATTTTATTTTTGAAAGCTTTTTTTAATAAAAGAATTACATTGCAATGAAAGACAGCTAAGAAAGGGTGCCAATCAGCTATTTTAGCAAAAAAAAAAACTCCTTCCAGTCAATTTAAATTAGTTTTTAAAATACAGCAAAGTATTTTGTTTATTGGGAATATAAATTTAATCTATTAGCTTGGAATTAAAACTAAAATAAAAGCTTCAAGAAAGATTTTTCATTTTTACAAATTCATTTTAAACCTTAAATATCATGGTTTTTGTGGAGGTCCCTAAATAAAATAAGTAAAAAATAAAATAAACAGGAACATGTGGCAAAAGTGGATTATCTCCCTTTGATGTATACTCACATGACTAGGGTCATGTGGTATTAGTATAAAAAGGTGTGAGCTTTCAAAAATCTTCCTCTTTTCTGATTTTTCTGTTCCCTGGACAACTGCTGCTCAGCATGTAAGTAATTTTGCCACAACCATCAAGCACTTCAACACACAGCCACACACACACTCACACACTTACTGTTTCCAAATATTGTAATTTTTGTGAAAATATATTGTTTTCTTTTTAAACAGGAAGAATGTTTGTTTATTTGTTCATCATTATATTTAAAATTTTTAGTTGCCATTGTTTTTAGTGAGCTAGAAGTAGTGGCTGCAACAGTCCTCATGCAATTGAAGCTTTTAGTGACAGAAAAGTAAACAAAATGTAAAATAAATTTAAAAACAGATTTAAAAACTTGAAAGCAGTTTTCTTTTTTGTGATTCTCTTGCTGAATTACCCATACCTTCCTTCGTGTCACACATATTTTTGTAAGAAAATGATTGATTTTAAATCATTGTTATAATTTGTGGAGAAAAATGATGCATTTCAATATTACTCAATGATCTTGCCAATGTGACCTCCATCTTCTGGCTTTCTCCTTTTATATTTTGGATAGGAGTCATTCCCTTGTTCAAATTTAAATTTAATTTAAATCAAAGAGGAAAAAAGTTTCAGTGGTGGTGATCCCCTTTGATCAAAATGAAATATACTTATCCAAGTACCCTGACTAATGCAGTTTCAGAATATATATGGTTATGAGGGAGTGGGGGGTCTATCTCCAAAACCCTGGGAGGAATTTGATAACAGACAGATAGAGGCTATAACTTTATATATATAGATTTGATGTTAGTTTCTTATTTAAGAAAAAATTAAAATGTCAAACAATATATTTCTTTTGCAAAGTGTTTCAAAATTGCTTTCAGATGTGCATAACTATAGCTAGATTAAATAAAACAGGTTGAAATATTTTAGGTAATGACTTGATTTTCTTCCAATTTAGTTTATGCTACATTTCATGAAGATGACCTTTTACTTCTTTATTTTTGAGAAAAGTGAAATTTTTAAAATGGAGACAAGCAACATGGCTCTTGAGTAGGAGTTTGATTTACAATTTATAATACTAAACTGGACCCTGGCTATGTGTCTGATGTTATGACATTAAATATTTAATTTACAATGAAAACATACTGCTAAACTGAATCCTGAGTTTATTACTACTTGTCTGTTTGGAATAAACATGTTTGACGGTTTGCTGACATAAGAAAATATAAGTCAGAGCAGAAAAGTAATAACTCACTTCATAGATTGGATAGAGTTCATTATAAGAAACCACTAAATGTTGGTTTCAAGCAAGAGCTTTTCAGTTATCTTTCAGAAATAGTGTTGTGGGTAGTATATATTGTGGGTAGTATGTTGTGGGTAGTATATTTGTCCACAAATAGATATTAAATGACACAAGACAACAAACAAAATAAAGACTTGAGTAAAAAATAAATATATTTCTAAGTTTATTTTTGTTAAAGAAAATACATTAACAAAAATAATGTTACAGTGCACTAAGCAAAAAATATCTCTGCAAGCTCATGTAGAGGGTGAGAATAGTTTGTCCTGAGAAGGACAGTTTTGGTCGTTACTGGAGAACATTGTCTTGAGAAGGACATTTTTGTGGTCACTTGAGAGTTGTCCTGAAAAGGACAGTTTATTGCAGAAGATGGCTGGTGTGGGAAGCCTGTGGGTGCAACACAAGATAAGTTATTTAATAGGAGGGAATCAAAGGACATACCTCAGGCCACTGTCAAAAAAGACTCAGGACTTACAGGAATGGGAAACAAAGCTTGTCTTATCTCGTTATGGCCATGGAAATGGCATACTATTTTCTGTTTTACCATTATATAGGATGCAACACAAGGTCAGTTATTTAACATGGGGAATCCAAGCATGTACACTCAGTTCATTGGACAATTTTTACCCAGCCCCTGCTTGCATGGGAACAGGCATAAAGCTTGTGTTAGCTGGTCATGGATGCAGAATAGATACTACAATATGATCTCTATTTACCAGAGGCCCTCACCACTGAGTTGTGACACATGGTCGGTTTTTAATGTGGAGACCCAAGTGCATACACTCAGGCCACTGGTCCAAATTTACCCAGCCCCCACTTAAACAAGATTGGACACAAAGCTTGTCTTAGCAGGACATAGCTGGTCAAAGCCATGGAACGGATGCTACAATATGATTATATTCACTAACCACCTCCAGTTGAATGTTGCACAAGGCCAAGTTTATTGTAGGGTATCCGAGCCTGTAGGCATGGCCAAAAATTCCCCATAGACCCCGTAAAATTTTACACTGGTCCACAGATCACTTTGTTGCTTTTCAGGTTTCTTTATATCATGAACCAGTCTTAAAACATGCTGGTTAAGCTTTTTCTTCCAGTTGTTTTTAAAAAATGTGGGAGTACCAAAACTAAAGAAATTGACTTGAATCCATGGGACTACTAATGAATTTTATGCATACCAAATAAATGAATTTCCTATGTAAAAATGTGGTTCTTCCAACTGAATTTTGTACTGTTTTAAGAAATTCCATAAGCAATATAGCTAATTTAATTCAATAAAATTATAATAATAATTATAATGACATAGTTAAAAACTTCATCTTTTTATAAAGACTACTGACAACACAAACACAAAATCATGATTCGGGTTAGCAGTACTTGTCCAACATAAAGTGAATATTTAATATCATGTAAGACACAAAGCACTGTCAAGTGTTCCAACATCACCATGAAATTCCTAGTTTTGAGCTCTTTATCCTGGTCTTCCAGTTTGAAACTAGTACCCTTTTACTTGTAAATAAATTGTTAAGCATTCTCTACTAAAACAGCTGCCATTTTGTTTCTCCATTTTGGACCATGATTTAGTTAAATTACTGCATAGATAACATTTTCTGATAACAGGCATGTCTTAGTGGATTTATCACTTTACTTGGGGTGAAACAGTTTAAAGAAAATAGATCCAAATCTTTAGTAGGCTTCAAGATTTTTAGAATGAGAGGTCTGTCAATTCAAATGCAATAATAACATGACAATACAATTATTACTGTCTGAGTAGTAGTTATGGGAGAATGGTTTATCAAAATTCCTACTCATCCACTCTTTGTCAGTCATTAGGATATTTTACAATGGGTACAAGGATATGCATTCATGTTTTTTTTTTCAAGAATATTATTAAGTGAAAACAAGTATCCACAAGTAGGGTTTGAACTCACTTTTACAATTATCTTTTTTTTTGTGCCAATAACCATCAAATCATTACACAGCTCCTCTGTTTTTGTTTTTCTCAGAAAGATGAAAGAAAAATTTTGTGTCATTATAATTTCACTGGTTTGACAAAATGCTGAAATTTACCGAACTATTATAAACCATTTAAAAGAATATGGCCATGTTTTTACTGAAGACACAGTCGGTGCCAAGGGAAATGAAATAACAGGTAATTCACATGATTTCCTTAGTTTCATCATTTCTTTCAAACAAAATAACTTCACTGATGTCACTCTAAAGAATGAAAAACACCTGTTTTATATATATATATATATATATATATATATATATAAAAATAATTATATTTATGCTCTACTTTTGTATCGAGCACTATTTTTTAAAAATAATAACTAAAATACTAAGGGACTTTGGATTATTTACCTAACCAGTTCCTTCCTATTTTCTATATATTTTCATATATATATATAATATATATATAAAGACAAGAGGAAAAACTGTTCTTAGCCAACATGTTTCATCCTCTGATGGACTTAATCAAGGTAAATGTAAGGGTTTATTTTGTTACATGTGTTTATATATAAGAGCAAGGATGTCATTGGTTTAACAATGCTTTTAAATTTGAGAACCTTCATAAATATTAGTCAGGTGGTTGAAAGGTCAATCAAAACATGTGAAGGATACAGAGTGCCATAATTCAAATCTAGTAAGCAAGTAATATTCAAGACATATATATATTTATATTATATGAAAAAAGATTACTTAAATTTAACTGTCATTTTTTTTGTTGTTTTCCCCAACTTCAAAGTTTCTTGGTAAACCATTTTTCAAGGGGTTCTGTTTTTTAATGATATTACCAATTTTTTTCAATTTATTCCACATCCATTTTGTACATGAGCGTATTCATGAATTTAACATTCTTTCACATGAGCACATTCACAAATTTTTGCCTTTGTTTGCATCTTCGAATGTAAGTGTCATGATTTTTTCATTTGTAAATCTTAAATCTTATATAATAGGGGTTTTAGTTTTAAACAGTATTTAAATACTGTTTAGAACCACAACCTCTGAAGACTGGAAATTTTACCAAGAAACATCAATGTTGGGATAAAATTAATATTTAAAAGTCAAGTAATCTTTTCATGTAATATATATATATATATATATATATATATCAATTAAAAGTGCCAGAGCCTATCTACCCAGGTTTCACCTAGATAGATAGGCTCTGACTCTTTAGGTATTTTAATTTTGCTTTACTTAGTGTATTGAGCACTTAGGTACTCTGTCGGTGTTTATTCTTTTGGCTAGACATTGCAGTACTGGATGATTTTTTTTCAAGTTGTACGGATATTTTTAGTCTTTTCTTTTTTTATTTAATTTTTTTTTCCCAAATATCAGTTTGTCTAATATTTTTTTATTTACAAATTGTTTTATCTGTTTTTGTTTTTTGTTTTTTTTTTCACACTGCCAGAGTTATAGTTTTAAAATAAAATATATATATAATATCAGAAACACTAACTTTTTCCACTGTAATGGTTTCTACTAATGAAGGTTTACTCAGGCAGTGAAAAACCTTTTTGCTACATGAGGAAACCTTTATTTTGTGAAATTGTATTTTGCAGAAATTTTTTGATCTGTATTTTGAGAACTTTTTTTTAAATATAACCATTTCATGGACAAGATAAACTTTGTATATAAAAACAGTTTATTGTGCATATATATATATATATATATATATATATATATATATATATATAAATTTTTTTAATAAATGAATATTGATTAAATTGTTATCATTTAGAATGAACGTATATGCTGTACATCTTGACAAACATGCAGTAATGGATTTAAATGTTTTCTTTTGATTTTTTTTTTTTTTTTTTTTTTTTTTTTAAAAACATTTTAGTGGTGATATGTTGTCTTGAAAGTAACTTAATTAGGATTTATTTAAACATGAAAATAAAGCTACCAAACTCCATCCACAAGAAACTAGTAGAAAATACAAGTATAATATCCTCATCATGTAAAAAAAGACTAAAAATAATGGAAGCACTAATAATAAAAAAGAAAATCCAACACTCAATAATATCATCAACTATGAACATGGCCACAATGTGCTAACTGTGTTTGGAAAATAAACAATTCCTATAACTCTAGATACATACATAAAAATTTCATATATTCAGTTAGAAAATAAAAATAAAAAATTGTATTTGAGAATGGCTAAAAGATTAGTCAAAAATGCTCAGATATACATAACATTTGAACAATTTTTACATACTTTGTGCCCAGAAAAAAAAACTTATACAAACACAAAAAAAATAAATAAAAAGCGTAATTGCAGTACTTTGTTAGTTGTCTTTAATAAAATATATATTAAGGTATATTTAAGCAGGAAGCATTTGTCCAAACAAGTGTCATTAAAAATAATTAACATGAATCAGTCTGACTTTTTTTATTGTATTTTTCCATGCCAGTATCCTTGTTCTCGGCAACATCATGTAATTTGAATAAATATACATTATTCAAATTACATGATCCTGAAGGAAAGATGGATACTAACACGGAAAAATAAAAACGTTAAGTAGACAGATTTTGTTGACTCTTTTTAATCCAACTTGTGTATGTATATATGTAAATACATGTAGTACAGGTAATATATATATATATATATATATATATATATATATATATATATATAATACAGTTAATAATTTTACATTAATATCTCCTTAAAGAATTTCGGGTACAGATCCGTATCCCTAATAATATAACCAAACCATAATGGTGTAAATGGATGATATATATATGTATGTATGGGTAAATATATGTATGCATATGTAGGTATGTGTGTTGTATGACATGATTTATTCCATTGGGTGTTTTGTCTTTACTTACAAATTTTGGGAATCTATTATATAGATAATTTATTCTAACTTTAAATTGCCTTGTCTTTAAATCCCCCACCACTTAATAATATAATCCACCAGCAGGGACCTAAGTTCATTTACATACAACTAAAGGCTTTTGCTATAATTAAACTCCCACTTCAGCCTATCTCCTTGTCACCAACCTAAACTCCTTATCAAAATGAGGCATCCTCTTAAGTAGCCCCATACATTCTCACTGAATGCTATCTAAGCTAAATTCAAAACCCCAATTCCGAGACAGTCAGTCTAGGGCTGAGGAGGACTGGCATGTGGTTGTGCTTATTGAAATAGACTATACCCACACGAGACAATTTTCAGTTTTTTTTGCTGTATTATATATATATATATATATATATATATATATTACACAGCAAAAAATCCAAAATTACCACATGCAGGTATAGGGGTTATTGCGCAACTCTGAGTTTCATGCCAAAGCAATTTTCAAGTGCTGGAATTATTATTTTTATTTAAAATTAAAATAATTAATGGAAGATATAATGTATATTTCTTAATATATATATATTAAATAGCTGTGTTATTTTACATTGAACACTGTTATTTCTTACACTATAAAGTATTTATATATATTTGTATACAATAGCTTACTCGTATACCTACCTATATTTATCCATTCGGTTATTGTTATACCATACCTATGGATTACAATCCATATAAATACAGTAATATATACTGTATGTGGTAGTCATTTGGACTCAATGTGGGATTCACTTGCAATTCACCTTGATTCACTTCTAGCTCACCACTAGCAATTGATTACTTACTACACACCATTGGCAAATCTTGTATGTTGTTTCTGTTATAAATATTATTGTTCCATTTCCAAACTTTGCTTTTGGTCATTCTTATTCAGTAACCTTTTCCTAGGTTACAACAGTTTTTATATATATATATATATATATATATATATATATATATATATATATATATATATATATGTGTGTGTGTTTCATTGAATAATATAGATATATTGTGTTTGTTTATTTTTTATACTAATCATTTCCAGTTGCCTAATCAGTCTATGATGTCAAGATGACTTTCATCAAGAAAAGTTCCGTAGTTTTGTACTTTTGATCTTTTCCAAGATCATCTTCAGGGGGTAAATTACAAAAGACAAACTTATTGTAATTATGGCATCTCTGCCTATATATATATATATATAATATATATATATATATATATATATATATATATATATATATATTTTATTAGAGATAAAATAATCTGGAGTAATCTCCCTTGACTTTGGAGAACTCTTTCCTTTGTAGAGGACTATAAATAGTCACTATGCTGTTATCAATTATTCTAAGCAGAATAAAGTTTCCTTAAACCTCAAAAACAAAATTGCTTTCTATTAATAACCACAGAGATCCTTCCCTGCCCTCCATTAGAATGTCTGATGCTCAACTTCTCGACAGCAACTCTCTGCAGCTGCTTGGTTTCACGTTGACTGCTGACCTGAGATGGAACAAATACATTGACTCAATTGCTTCATCCACCACAAGGAAAGTTGGCTCCCTGTGCCACGCCAGGAAATTTTTCTCCCCGGAATCAATCCTCCAGATCTACAAATCAACAATTCGCCCTTGCATGGAGTATTGCTGCCATATATGGTCTGGAGCCCCTTCTGTTTGCCTCAGGGTTCTTGATAGGCTCCAGAGGCGGATATGCAATATAATTGGCCTGCTCTGGCATCTCGTCTACAGTCCTTTCTCACAGGCAGCGCCGTCGCCTCTCTCTGTCTGTTTTACAAATACTTTCATGGCAATTGCTCGAGGGGCTGCATTCGCTAGTTCCTAGACTTCATGAGTTCAAGAGCCCTACAAAGGCTGGGATCGCTCTCACCCTTTCACTGTGGAAACTCCTAAATGTAGCTGTCTTTTTCTACTCCAATAGCTTCATGTCTTGCACCTCTCGCCTGTGGAACTCCCTTCCCTATTCCAGTTTCCCTGAGAGCTATATTCTCCAGCTATTCAAATGTAATGTCAATCGATATCTCCAGTTGCCTTGATCTATCCACTATCCTTCTCCTCACCCTTTCCTCTATCACTCCTATCTGATCTTGCTCCAAATTTTCTGTAACCCCTTGCGTCCTAGTGGCTTCCTGCCTTGCTTGGGGGGAAACACTTAAAAAACAAAACAAAAAAACACTCTTGCTCTCTTTTTGTTATTCTATATATATTTATATATATATATATATATATATATATATATATATATATATATATATATATATATATAACTTTAAATGTTATTTTTAGTAGATAGCCATATTTGAGGAGACATTCTATTTATTTTTAAACAGTATTTTGTTTATGGGCCTGAACATTCAGGAAATTTTACTGACGAAAATGCAGTCTCCAGCAGGATTTGAACCTGTGACACCCCCCCCCCTTTGCAGGAGAAATTATCATTAAATCTGACATGCTACAAAAGTGTCACGATCAAACCTGGTTCTATTTTTCCTTTAGAGCACACTTTACTTGTTCAGATTTCCTTGAATGTCATAACTGTTCAGTTTCATATGCAAAACATAAACAAAGCAATTTCTCAAGATATAATGGACTTTTAATTTATTAATCTGACATATATATTGCCATATGGCATTTAATATTGAATGTTAAATCAAACATATGATCATTTTATTAAAGGACATGCTTTCTTTGTGTTTCCTCTTCTTTCTTTTCTTTTCTTTATTTCCTATCTAGACTGCATTCTGTCTCAACTATGAAATGGCAGGAAAGAATCTGTGTCACTTGACAATTACAGAGATTGAACTCGTAATGGAGTAAGTAAAATTTGGTCACCCAAGCACATGTGACATGCACCTCCAAGTGGGATTTTTGAATTGTAATTTCAGTTTCCCAATAATCTCTGACCACAATAGGTCATGAGTAAATCAACTGTCATTGTGTGTTCATAAGAGATGTACCTATGAAATTATTCTATTACTTATTGTGTAAGGAATAAGGAGATATCATTCCCAAGGATCCTGGATTTATTCAACTACTTGATGTGTAGTGAATAAAAGAATATTATATCCAGAGAAATCATCACAATTTCATCTTGGATTTAATTCAATTACCAGAGGGCAAATGAAGTACATGTATCATTCCAAAGTTGTCCAGCACGTATTGTGGGAAGAAGAACTAATGATTTTTATTTGAACATTTTAAAGAGATTCTGTCTATTGGCATTATGAACATTTGAACTTACAAATTCATGAAACACAAATGCTTGAACTAACACTCAGTATCACATAAGTGCCTTTTATTGATTTTTTTTTTTACATCTATTAAACCAGACTCTTTTCATATTCTGTTGTTTTTGTTATATAAAATTATTTACAAACGTTCATCTTGTGTTTGTTGTTTGTCAATACCTATGTCATATGTTCCTATCTGAGTGAACCCATGTTCTCTTTTTTTCTTTTATTTTTTTTTGTTTTTTAGTGACCCTGGGATACATATCTCTATATGTTGCAAATTCATAACAATATATATATATATATATGACATTTTATACATTTGTTTTTTCAGCTGATGCTGGTTTAACAGATAAAGAGATCCATGACCGTGATATGAATTGGTTGTTAGAATGTGATGGTAAGTTACATGAAAACAAATCATCAATATTTATATAACTTGTTCACTAATACATTATTGTATGTTGTGTTGGACTATGGAACAGTTGGTGATTTCAGTTTATTTTTTTCTCAAGCTGTCAGTTTACCATTTGGCTGTTATGTTTTTAATAAATACAAACTTCACTACACTTTCTGTTCTAGTGCAATCTTTATTTGAAAAGAAAATACTTCAAGAACAATAAATTTGAGGCAAAATTTTGAAAAGGCTGAATTTACCTGCTGCCGCCAGTATTTAGCCACTTACTTTTGTTATTTAATTTTGGATCATATTAAAGTAATAAAACAAAAGAAAAACAAGATTTAAAAATGTTTTGCCTACAATAAATATTTTTTCCTAAATGATTATTTGTCTATCTGAAATTTCTTATTCAGTGTTGGAAGGCCACAGAATTGTTGAAATATGCTCAGCTATCTTAAAAATAAGCCATTTAGCAGTGCAAAAAGATAATTATTATAAATCTAAATTTGTAGATAATAATTCTTATAATTATGATAAATATAAATTATGATGATTGTCATAGTTTTTTTATTGTCGCAGTTTTTTTTGTAATCAATGTCAGGTCAATTCAGGACATAGGTCATAGCTCTCTACAGCTTCCTTTTCTTTATTATCTGTAAATTCCCATGATAATGAATAGATAATGAATTAGTTTCCTAATGTCTTCACCACTGTTTTGAATTCAGAGTTGTCCTTCTATACTGGCTACCACCCAAGGCTAGAGATCCCAGTTTACCTTGCTATTTATCCCATAGCTGAGGGAGGAGAAATAGATTTATGCCTTTCCTAAGGCATTTGTGCAAAAATAATTCAACCAATTAGGGTGGAATTTGAACTCCTCTTTCTATTTCCATTTTCTGTGCCAATAACCATTATGTTTACCTATATGTCCATAATCATTCCCTTTTTTTGTTAAAAGCCCTACAACTGATCAAAGTCTTATTTCACACTGACTGCAGGAGTTGGGGGGTTGCAGGTAGCAGATCGGACAAACCTTACTAAAATTATACAGAACACTGATAAGAACCAAGCCGGACTATGGCTGCTTTATAAATAGAGCATCTGAGAATCCCTATCTGAAGGAATTAAATATTATTTATCAGCAAAGGACTCAGAATAGAAGTCAAAGCATATCACATCTCAGCTGTAGAAAGTCTAATATACTCAGAAGCAAATGAACTTTTCTCTAAAAGTGAGACACAAGAAACTTGTTTTACAATAACACATGAAACTATCATCATGTCCACTAGACCCAGAAAACAATAACACTTTTTACCCAAAATACACTGAAGTTTTTTCGAGAAAAAGGAAAAGCATTTAATTTATGAATAAAACATTATAAATGAATATTACGAATATATATATATATATATATATATATATATATATATAAGTAGAGTAGAAAAGTTGGCCAATAAAACAAACGAAAGAGTACCAATGAAATCAATACAAAAAACATTTATTAATATTAACCATGTGACAAATATGAAGCACAGAGATTGAGGTTCCAAGTTTGTAATTTTCAAACATGCCTGTGTTCTTCGTCAGCAGATGCGAGAAAGAAATAAACAGAGGAGCGGTGGAAACTATCCAACATTTGTTTTTTTTTTCTAATATATATTATGAAATGAACAAAGTCCAACAATTATTTTTAAGACATTTTTATGTTTATACATTCTTTTTATAGATACAAATTTTTAAGTAAATGCTCTGTTTATAATAAACAGTATTAAACAACATTTACCAGCCTGAATGTCGAAGAAATTTTCATAGAAAATATTCATCCTCCGACAGGAATCAAACCTGTATCCTGTACGGAACCGTCATATAGCCTGACATGCCTTTAACCAATTGTGCCACAGAGGAATTTTTTTGTAGTTTTTCCTTTTTCAATTACTCTTCCTTTTTTATTGGTTTGTTATATAAAATATTAAATCTTCTCTGAAGTTTTATTTTCACTTAGATGGTAATAGTTTAGTATATACTAATATATGTTCTTTTTAATTTAAAATGAAGAGCATTATGATACATCCCCGAAAATGAAAATAATTAAATCCTTATATGTTTTTTAATCTTTTAATATTTTATTATATTAATTTCAGGAATTCTTTCTCATTAATATAAATATATAATTATATCACTTAATTTTGAATTAATAGTATTTTATTAATATAAGATTATTGAAAATAATTTTCCATTTTTATTTTACTGATTAAATCAGGTCAGTTTCTATGTGTATGTCTCCTCACACCATTACCATATCTACAAATGGCCACTCTCTATATACTCTCCTTTCCCACCTCCTCCTCTCTCTTACTTGCCTTCTCACTATTCTGTTTCTCTTTCTTTCTTTCTTTCTTTCTTTCTTTCCTTTACTTTTTTCTTTCCTTTACTTCTTCCTGGTTTTTAAAATTAGTCTTATGCTAGTTTATTTTGATTTTTCTTGTTAACTTGATAGATTTGAAAATCCTTGTAATTTAATCTTAATTTTCAAGATGAAATGATGATCATCAATATTATGGAGTAATCCTGATTCCTATTGTTTATTTATCTATTTATTTTATATATATATATATATATATATATATATATATATATATATATTATATATGTGTGGTACTTATTGGAAAGTGTTCAATATCAGTGACAGAACTAACATATTCAGTTGTATGGATATGAGTTTGTGATGTTGGGTTTTTACGATCATCTGACAAACTTTGTCTGATGATTGCAAAAGCATGAAACCCAGAGTCACAAACTCATATCCATACAACTGTATATATATATATATATATATATATATATAGAGAGAGAGAGAAAGAACAAACAGATTTAGAATTCACAGATCTTTAGCATTCACTTTTTTAAAAAACGAGAATTTGTAAGTCCTTAAATGACCCATGCCTCATGTGTCTACATGAAAAGCTACATATTATTAAGTTTCCTAAAAATAAAGATCTATTAAATCAGCGGAATGAACTAACTGTAATATGTAGACATTGTATAATATTTACCTTAAAATATAGTTAATAGAATTTTTCATAAACTATCTATGTATTACAATTATATATCCATTATTTTATTATATATAATGGTACATAAAATATTTTATTATATATAAGGGTACATATAATATTTATTTAATTCCTTGATTTTTTTTTTTTAATTTTAAATATTGCCTTGTATTAAGGCCCATTGAATAAAATAAGTATTGTAATTTAAGGTTCAAAATTATATATAAAAATGATTTAATCATACTGTAGGCCCCTTTAAGATAGTTCTTAAGTATGTGAAAAATAATATTAGAAAAATGAAATTAACCTATTGTTAGATATATACATATATCAGATTACTTTGTTGTATCTTAAAAGTGTATTCTTAACCAGATTTATGTTGTCGCATCTTAATATGACAGTTCCTCGAGACATGTATGAATACCACACATACCCCTAACATGTAACCTATATTTTTAACTTTCCTGCTTTAGCTTTGACCTGTCTTTTGATTGGTCAATAGGGACATAGCCATAAGATTTTAAATTCTTGATCCCCCCCTCCTTCTTAACTCTTAAATAAGCAAACATATTGTTTTCTGTTTTCAAAAGTAAATCATTTTCATCAAAAGTTACCGGACATTGCCTGATGATGGGATAAGTCCCAAAACACAGAAATTTCCGTGTTGCAGTGTAAAAATATTTTAAATAAAAAAAATATATATATATAATATTTGTAATAATTATATATATATATATATATATATATATATATATATATATATATATATATAATTTTTAAGACATTTTTATGTTTGTACATTCTTTTTATAGAAACAAATATTTAAGTAAATGCTCTGTTTATAATAAATAGTATTAAACAACATTTACCAGCCTGAATGTCCGAGAAATTTTCAAAGAAAATATTTGTCCTCCGACAGGAATCGAACCTGTATCCTATACAGAACCATCATATAGCCTGACATGTCTTTAACTGATTGGGCCACAGAGGAGCATTCAGTTAGCAAGGTCGATTTTACTGTCCTTAAACTACAATCTTCCATGATTCTCTCACGTAGATTCATATCTGCTCATGGCGTATCCAAATGTAAACAAATTGTCACACATTATGAAATGGACAAAGTCTGACAATTATTTTTAAGACATTTTTATGTTTATACATTCTTTTTATAGATACAAATATCTAAGTAAATGCTCTGTTTATAATAAACAGTATTAAACAACATTTACTGGCCTGAATGTCCAAGAAATTTTCCGACAGGAATCGAACCTGTATCCTATACAGAACTGTCATATAGCCTTTTTTTTAATACAGTGTGTAAAGAATAGAGTTTGGTTAATTAATAAAAGCAATATATAAATTATAATTAGGTAAATATAAGTACTAACTAATAAATAAACAAAGCAAGTAAATAAAGTACTAATTAATAAATAAAGACATGTAAAGTAAAAAGATATATAATTATTAAATATAAACAATATATATAATTATTATAAGAATTATTATATCATTATTAAAATATTACATTATTAAATAATATTATTATAATTACATAATATTAAAAAAACATAAGGATTTAATTATTTTCATTTTCGGAGAAGTATCATTTAATGTTCTTCATTTTAAATTAAAAAGAGCATATATCAACATAATAAACTTTTACCATCTAATTTTGTAATTTTAATTAAAATAATAGGATTTTTCATGATGTTTTGATATAATTAATAACAAAATAGTATTATTTAAAATAATATAATGATATGTAGTATAGTGATGTTAATATATTAATATTGAATATTAATATGTCTCATTGAGATATATGGATATATATTGAATTTTTGGTGTAATGAAATATCATTTCATAATTCAATTTAATAATAAACTTTAATGAGGTATTTACATTTTAAGTAGTATCTTTTATAATATTTAATAATATTTTAATACTCTTTAATATTTAATATTTTATTCACTGGTAATTACCATCATTGTTAACTTCCTGATGAGATGTTATTGTTTATTAAATGTCAAAACAAAATGAACAATTTTGTAGTAGTAACTTACATGTTTTAATGTAACAGTTCATTATATATATATATATATATATATATATATATATATATCCTGTCCTGAAAAAAGGAAAGCCTTTTCAGCTGAATATTATTTCCAATCATAATCAGTTTCGAGATCAAATGACCTAAAATGGGTTGATTTGCTGTAAAACAAACCAAACCAAACCTTTTGTTAATTTTCATACCATTTTATAAGTTTTTATTACTTTTTACCCTAATCATTCATTTATATTCATTCAATTCAATGTTATGCTGTTGTATCAATAATTCACTTGATTTTTGCCTTAATTATTGTTTCTTCTAATAATTCTACTTTGTCAATTGTTATTCCAGTCTTTATAGATTATTTTATAAGTTCTTATTTACTTATATGTTTACCTATGAAGCAAAAAAAGATGGCAATATTTAAGTTCTTGAATAATTTTTAAAGTATAATTCATTTAGAAAATTAATATCCATTTATATGCTAGCTAAAAATAATGTAAGAGATAAATTATGGCACTTATTTATTAATTCTCTTTCTACAATGTCATCAAAAGATTTGCATTTCACTCAAGATAGAGGATTACCAAATGAAGTCATAAGATGGGGGTAGCAAGAGAATATTATGAGGATGAGTAGGATAGATATACATGTGCAATTCCCCCATCTCTATGTAGTGAATTATTATGGTAACATAGAAAAGTGTTACACACACACACACATATTCTTAAACTGAACTTGTAATTTTTATTACTATTATTATGACTGATATTTTACTTTAGTCTGAAGAAGGTTGGGCTCAATCAGGCCATTTTGTTCGGGAAACCCCACTGCTACTGCCACTGCAGTACATGTGGTGCTCCTATGAGCCTAATGGGTTACAGCTCTCATGATGATGATGACAATTGTAGTTACATTTCTATAAATTACTATGTTATATAATTTAATAACTAATTTATTATATTATATTTATTTTATAACTAATCTTATTATTAATAATTTCTTCTATAGCACTTGTCACTTGTGGAACCCTCTTCTGGCTTCTTGCTTCCCAGACAACTTTGATCTTCAAAAATTTAAATGCAATATCAATCATTATGTTCTGTCTTTTTAATTCCGGCTCTTTTATTGTTCTCTCGACTTAAGATTGTTTTCTTTTTTTCACTGTCTAATGCTCAGTAACCCCTTGAGCCTTAATGGCTTTCTTGCTTTGCTTGGGGTGAAATGATTAAAAAAATAAATACCTTTAGTAATTTTGATAAGAGTCACTCTTATTCCACTAGTTGTACAGCTTATTAGTCTTGTTCCTTGCATTGTTGGTTGTTTTTAAGTATGATGAATGGAATCGTCCATTTATATAAATAAGCGGAGTTAAGCAGAGTTAGCATTAAGTCAGTTGCTAAGTGTACCTTCTGGTGTAGTAAAGCTTCTATTTCATTACTTACCTCTGAGTTTGTCTTCCTTATTATCTTGAAAACACAAGATACAACAACATGTGGACTGTTAAAATATTTTTTTCTTTATAAATTAAATTCTTTTTTTTTTTTTTTCATTTCTAACCAAATTCTTTAAACTTAAACTTATTTTCCTTTACTTTATACACAATACCATAAAACCTTCCTCAAGTGTACAAGTCTGTATTGCATTTATCTTCTAATTTTGTTTAATATAAATATTCATTTTGATTCAACTATTAGTTCCTTTTATTTCTTCTGTATGTTACAGCTGTGATTGCTGAAGTAACACAACCCTCTCTGGGTGTGGGTTATGAAATTGGGCGATCTATTGCTATGGGAAAGAAAATCCTATGCCTTTATCGATCAGAACCAAAAGATATAAAATGTAAGTCTTTTTTTAATATTTCTTTATTATTGAAGATATGCATTAGTATTGATTATGCTGATAAATGAGTGACTTCTTATTTCAGTGCTGCTTTCTATATGTACGAGTAAGCAATGTTTTATTACAATTTATTGTGTTTTATTATGAACTGAAAGTAAGTGACATCTTGCCTGAAAATTGTGTTTATTTGGGCAGCTGTGGTGGACATGAGACAGAACCTGGGACGAGCACAACTGGTCGCGACTTGCCTTGTCCCCGCCAAAAAAGAGCCCGTATTTGCTTAGCATGTAAAGCTACTGCAGTTGAAATGAGGGAGAGAAAAAAAGCACTTACCGCTCTGACGTAATCCATCCTCGGCCAGATAACGTAAAAAGAATGAGGGGGACTGGCATCGCATTTTTTATCCAATAACGATGCAATGCATTATGGGACATGGACGCAATGCATTATGGGACATGGACGCAATGAATTATGGGATCACAGGAAGGCGCAAGGGATTATGGGTACATGAACAACTATAAAAACAACTACTTTTTTTTCCAAGTCGGGAGTTCTTGAGGGGCGTTCACGGTTGACGGCTAGAACGGGCAGTTAGTGTGATTTGGAGACAGAACTCAGGAAGGAACGACTCAAGTTTGAAATACCAGCTGGGAGAGCTTGAATTTACTCGCTGGTTACTGTTTTCTTCATTCGCCTCAAGCTATTTCGGCATATTGATTCTTCAAAATGGAAGGCAAGGTCTTTGACGTCCGTTTGATTCCAGAATTCAGCGGCGCCCCAACGGATATGCCCATTGTTGAATGGATAGAAAATGTGGAATTGGTCTGAACTTTGTGCCATGGACAAGATCGGCGCATCTTGCCTTTACGACTTCGAGAGCGGAGAGCAGAGGGCAGGCGGAACAAATTAAATGGGCCCTTACATTGACTGACAAATTTAATCGTTCGACCAATTTATGGGACGGCGTCTTCGCCCAGGGGAAACTGTGGATGAATTCTGGCTGAAATGCATCGTTTGGCGTGGCTACTAGGAGAACCGCTACCTGATCGGTGGATGGCATGTGCATTTGTGTCAGGACTGCCACATCATGTTAGGCAGCTTCTCAAAGCTTCTTCCAGGATGGACGACATGAATCTAGAACAGATTCTGACCCGAGCAAAGGGCTATTATGATGGATGACGAAGGGTGCCAGGTATTGGCGCTGCATCGGTAGAGCCAGCAGCGCCAGAAGCTGAGGTTCCCCTGCCAAACCTGTTAGCAGAACGATTACCTGCTACAAGTGCTCTGGACCCAACCATATGGCGAAGAATTGTACACAAGGACGTCAGGAGAGGTCAAACAGAACGCAGAGGTCTGGTCGCGACAAAGCGGTGTTTTCGATGCAACGGCATTGGACACATTTCCTCAGAATGCCAGGGAAGCCCAAGGGGAGAAGGCGTCAGCGCCAGCCTTCTCCCGAGCAAGCAAAAAACCGGAAGTTACCCACCGTACAAGTATTTGTAGATGGAGTAGAGTGCACAGCTCTAGTGGATTCGGGATGCTCACAGATGCTGGTGAGCAAGACTGTGTGTTGCTGCTGGAAGCAGGAAGAGGTGGGAGTGTTGACTGCCGGCGGGAAGACCCTGAAGTGCCGTGGATGCGGTAAAATTAAGTTAGGCGTCGGCATATTCAGCCCGTGACTGTTGAGGTTCTGGTGGTGGAAGGGCAGTTGCTGGATTCGATCTTCTTCTCGGGATTGATGCAATCAAAGTGCTCGGAGGTGTTTACTTGACCGAATCAGGCGAAGCTTCGTTTGAAACCTGAACACATGTGCCGCCATTGTTATCAACAAGCCTGACTTTAGAGTGACATTTAACCCGAGCACAAAAACGTGGACTGCATTGTGGAAGTGGGCGAGTGGTTATTCACCTAGCAAGTTGGTCAATAAAGTACAGGAGTACACAGTACCTGGCCACGTCCGGGATGCATATGATGAAGAACTAGCACGGTGGTAGCGAGACGGATGGCTACTGCCATATCCTGAGAAAGAGCTTGGCCCACCCAAGGGATTAATTCCCTTAATGGCGGTCGTACAAGAACACAAACAGAAGGTCCGACCGGTACTTGACTATCGGGAGTTGAGCGGCTTTGTAGAAGCGCATTCACGGCTGGCCTTGAGAGGTGTGTGCACAGAAATTACGAGAATGGCGACGACAAGGAGCTGACGTATCGCTGTTGGATTTGAGAAATGCGTACCTACAGATTCACATTGACAAATCGCTATGGTCGTTTCAAACAGTGGTCATTAAGGGCAAAGCGGTTTTGCCTTACGCGTTTGGGTTTTGGCCTGAATGTGGCACCACTTGTCATGAAGTCAGTGATCGACATGATAACGTCCCAGGATCAGGACATTAAGAGTGCCACGTCGGCATATCGTCGACGATATCTTCATAAATGAAGGCCTAGTTTCTGCAGCGGCGAAGACAGCACACTTTGTAGATTACGGGCTAGTCTGTAAAGATCCGGAGCGATTGAGAGGCGGAACTAAGGTCCTGGGTCTGCAAGTCTGGGAAGAAAGCAACTCCTTCGATGGAAGCGGGGAGGTCAGGGTTCAGAAATTGCTCAAAAGCTGACCATTGCGAGCGTATTTTTCCTTGTCTTGCGGAAACTTGTGGGTCATTTCCTGTGTGCGGTTGGCTTAGGGTGGCAACTGCATTTATTAAGCGTTATGCAAGTACACTAACCAAAGGATGGGACGACGAGATAAAGGATGCCCCTCTTGGACGTATGCTGGAGGAAACAGTGGCCAGAGTAAAGGGAATCAGATCCTGTCGGCAGAGACTGGTGTGAACGGCAATGAAATGACAGTTTGGGTGGATGCAAGCTCCGTGGCCACGGGAGTAGCACTAGAGGTGAATGGGGCGTCGTGGAAGATGCTTGCTGGTTGCGTCCAACCAATGATGCCAAACACATTAATCTTGCTGAGCTTGATGCGGTGATCAAGGGCGTGAATCTTGCCCTGCAGTGGCAGGCACCAGTTATGCATGTGGTCACCGATTCAGCATGTGTGCATCGGTGGGTGTCTGACACCCTGACAGGAAGGACGCGTGAACACGAAGGCAGCAGGTGAAATGCTGATGAGGCGGCGCTTAGAGACACTGCGAGCTTTGGTGGAGGATGCGCACTGACTATGACTGTGACGTTGGTGAAATCTTGTCAGAACCGTGCTGACAGCCTCACCAGAGTGCCGCAACACTGGTTGGAGATGCACAAGAAAGGAGGAGAACCGGTGCAAGTGAGTTGTGTCACTGCAACGAGCCAGTTGAGCAAACGTCAGGTGACCCACATCCACCAGCAGAGTGGGCACCCAGGTGTTAAAAGAACAATGTACTTTGCTAGGACTGTAGATCCAACGGTGTCTAAGGAACTGGTAAAATCTGTCGTTAGAACCTGTGAAGCCTGCCAATCGATCGATCCAGCACCAGTGCATTGGAAAAAAGGAAATTTGAGTGTGAGAAAAAACTGGAGCAGGTTAGCAATGGACGTAACCCATTGCAATGGTAGCCATTTTCTTACGCTCATTGACTGTGGTCCCTCCCATTTTGCAGTATGGCGGCCACTGAGGCGGCAAGACTCTGCTGGTGTCATTCGTCAGCTAGAGACAGTCTTCTCTGAACAAGGCCCGCCGACCGAAATACTGACTGACAATGACACCACGTTCACTTGCAGACAATTTAGGGAATTTGTAAACAGCTGGGGCGTGCATTTGAGGTTCGGTGCGCTTACGTGCCGTCTGGAAATGGCATTGTGGAGCGCAACCACAGAAGCCTCAAAACCATAGCGGCCAGGAAAAATTGTTCAGTCTTGGAAGTGGTTTACTGGCATAACGTCACACCTAAGGACAACCTTTCACCTTCCACGGCACGGCTGATGTACTGCACACATACCACGTCCGGGTGAGAGGCATCGACGCGACGCCCCGCCTGAATCACAAATAACCGAAGGGGAATACAAGGAAGGGGACATTGTCTGGGTTAAGACTCCACGTGGTAAATGCACGACCAAATTTGGAACCGGACGTGTGACCGAGGTGGTGAGTCAGCAGTCAGTGCGGGTTGATGGAACGCCTCGTCATGTTAGAGACCTGCGCCCTTTTTGGGCTCAAATCCCACAACTGACGAAGAAGACACGGAGGATAGTGAACAGCCAATATACATAGAGTTGGATTCAACAACCAATCACTCCGATAGCGGTAGTTTGCCAATAGATCGGGACGTGTCTAATGAGAGCTCCTCTGATGAAGAAGTTCAACCAATCCCCCTTTGGAGGAGCACCCAGAACAAAAGACCGTATCCTCACTGTCATCTGTGTGATCAGGAGATCAGGAGGGAGTGTGGCGGACATGAGACAGAACCTGGGACGAGCACAACTGGTCGCGACTTGCCTTTTCCCCGCCAAAAAAGAGCCCGTATTTGCTTAGCATGTAAAGCTACTGCAGTTGAAATGAGGGAGAGAAAAAAAGCACTTACCGCTCTGACGTAATCCATCCTCGGCCAGATAACGTAAAAGAATGAGTGGGGACTGGCATCGCATTTTTATCCAATAACAATGCAATGCATTATGGGACATGGACGCAATGCATTATGGGACATGGACGCAATGAATTATGGGATCACAGGAAGACGCAAGGGATTATGGGTACATGAACAACTATAAAAACAACTACTTTTTTTCCAAGTCGGGGAGTTCTTGAGGGATGTTCACGGTTGACGGCTAGAAACGGGCAGTTAGTGTGATTTGGAGACAGAACTCAGGAAGGAACGACTCAAGTTTGAAATACCAGCTGGGAGAGCTTGAATTTACTCGCTGGTTACTGTTTTCTTCATTCGCCTCAGCAGCAATCCCTCTTTTATACAAATTTTATTAAAGATGACTGACAAGGCACTGTAATTAAGATTTTTATTAAAATTTTCTTGCATTCATGCAAGTATTTTATTTTCTGGATATAAAGAAAAACTGTTCAAATGTTTGATGTATTTGAGTAATTTTGGCTATTCTATTAGCCATTATCAAAGATTTTTTTTTTTTTTTTAACTGAATATGTAAATTTTTATATATGTGTATAGTAATGTTTTTTTATTTTCTAAATATGGTCAGCACATTGTGGCTGTGTTCAGAATTGATATTATTGAGTGTTAGCTTTTACTTTTTTTTTATTATTAATGTTTCCATTATTTTTAGCTGTTTAGATATGTGGATGCGGCTATTATGGTTGTATTTTCTATGTTTTTCAAATGTTGCAAAAGGAATTTGGTAGGTTTCCATATGAGCCTAAATCTGTTCAAATAACTCAATTAGGACCCATTTAAAAACACATACAAGCACATGTGTCACTAAGAACGTTAATTTTATCAGTTACAAGAACAAAAACTTTTGATTAATCTCATCCTTTTTTGTTTTTTAATTTTTTTTTTAGGAACATAATTTAAATTTATATTTATTGAATGCTGATAACATCATGTGTAGAATAATTTTTATCAGTGTGTATATATATATATATATATATATATATATATATATATATACATATATACAGGATATATCAAAAATACTTTTACAAAGTTTGGGGGCAAGTTCCTGACACCAAAACAAGATAGAATGCCCATATAAACATATGTGCAAAAAGTTATCTCAACACTAACTCATAATAAATGTTAAAAATGCCTTCCACTTGCTTGTACACATGCATGCACCAATCAGATCATTGACTGGCAGACCCTTTCAAATACTCCCACATGGTGTTGAACTGTTTTGCATGCCCCCATGACATGTTAATGAAGCATCTCTGCATTATTATATGTCTGCTGCATAAACCAATTTTTTTAGGAGGCCAAACAGATAAAAATCCAAAGAATTGAGGTCGAGGGAATGTGCAGACTAAGGAAACCAGTCCTCTCCTACTTATCCATCTTTCATCGTCGATGCCAGCCAGTGCATCAAAAACAATGTGACTAAAATGTACTGGAGCCGTCATGTATAAACCACATGCATCTTCATATTAGCAGGTGTACATCCTCTAGCAGGTCTTGAAGTGTGTTAAAAAAAATCCCTGTAGACAGCTTCTGTAAGACATGCTGGGAGAACATATGAACCTACCAAACAGTCACCTACAATTCCAGCTCACACATTAATTGTAAACTCATGTGGGTGTCTAGCCTGTATTGTACCATGGGGATTCCGATCCACCCACAAATGTAAATTCATTATTCCATCTCTTCCAAATGTTGCCTCATCTGTAAACCAGAGACAAACAATGGATCAGCAGTTTGTGCAATAAACCATCGACAAAAATTCTCCCATGGTGAGTGATCAGAGGACAAAAGACCCTGCAACATGTTGCAAATGATGTAGATACAGGAGTAGCCCTTGAAGTACCCTCCATATGGTGCTATGAGATGTATGACATGCTAGGGCTACTTGACCTGTGCTGATACCTGGATCCCCCAACAGCCTGTAGAATGTTATCTTCATCTCGGCTTCAATCCATAGTTTGTGGTGCCACAGTTCCTGTCTCTGCAACACAACAATAAATGGCAGAAAAGTTTGGATGACTCAGCTGCCTTTGGTCTGGAAATGCAATCTGATACAGCCATGCAGCCTCATGTCCATTACCATTCACACAGCCATATGTAAAAATCATATCTGCCTGCTCACAATATGAATATCATGCCATTGTTAAATGGAACACTTCTCAGTTAACTCACTACTACACACATTAAAAGTTGAAGACAAACTAGCCACAATTGTACATGAATGACAAATGTAACCTAGTCTACATGGCAACACAGCGCCATCTACTATAAACTTTCTTTAAACTTAATAACTCAAAAACAAAGGATTTGCGGACATATGTTTATATGAACTTTTGTCCTTGTTATGGTGTACATAATTTGTAAAGATATTTTTGACACACCCTATATATATATATATATATATATATATATATATATAGAGAGAGAGAGAGAGAAAGAACAAATAGAGTAAAAATCCACAGTTCATAGCATTTATTTTTAAAAAAGTGCACAATGCAAAGTAGAGCAAAATATTATTATAATTTTTTTATAAGAGATTATAATAAAACATTTTAAATTGCAACACAAAAGCTTTCAGCTTTCAATATGTTATAAACAAGCGTATGGTTGCAAGAAAGAAATACGACAACAGCAGAAATAGATTTACGTGGTTTATTTCAACAGGAATGTGAGGGTTTGGGACAGCTACCTTGTGGTAAAGTTCATAAGCCGGCTTTCAGATCTAGGTCGATCTCTCATAGTAGTTCACACATGTTGATGGTGGTTGATGCTCCCCTGCTGCTGATCGCTCGGCCTGACCATGACAGGTCTCTTTTGTGGCCACCTGTTGACTGCCTGTTGAACTTCCGTGTGACCCCTTTTATAGCGTTTTTTTATGGCTTAACAGGCTCGAAAAACGAAGCGAGTATAATTAGGAGGGAAGCATTTTTATTGGACGAAAAATAGAACACTTTAAATATTATTTTATTTTTCAACCGGAACACATGCATCGGGAACATTTGTAAATGAAGATAATGGTCATTTTGTGATGGGGTTTTGTCCCGTTCACATCCGGCTCTTGCTCTTGAGTATTTGCCTGTAAATCAGCCAAGATATGTCTTATTTTATAACAAATACTATGATTGTACTTCCTCAGGTGATGGTTGGTAACTGGTGATAAAATGATTTTTTTAGGGAAATTTAAAAACAAATCATTACCTCTTTTCTGAAAGTTAAAGTGGGGAGGCATAACATCAGAATTAATAATATACTTGTGGGTATGTTTTGATTAACCAATGATGACATTTAATGTCTCGTGCTCTCTCTCATTTTTTTTATATATAATCTCTTTCTTCCACTTTTTCTCTCTCTTTTTCTCTTTCCCTTCCCTCTTATTAAAACATTTTAAAATCCATATCATCCCTGCTTATGTTTGGAAAAATTTTTTTTTTTTTTTTTTTTTTCTGCTTGTGCCTGGCTAAATCTAAAATTCATCTATTGTAAAATTGTTTGGTCTAAAGAGACAGGATCTTATTGTTCCCACAAAATTATTACCATGTGTTTCTAAAGTCTTCACTTTCATCATTATTATATTTGCTCTGTTCTTACATTGAACTCTCTTTGGAATTATCCCTACTAATTATCAAATAATATATATATATATATATATATATATATATATATATATATAGTTTAGAAAAATATGTCAAACTGGAAAATTTCTTGTGACATGTTTCATCCGTTAGGATTTTAATCGGACTGACCTTTGTTAATGTTGCTACATTTACATATGTGCATGAGACGAGACACACAAAGGTAGTTTCAAAATTTTTTTTGAAAGAATATTTTTTGTTTCAATCTAGCCAAATTCATTTGTATTCTTTTTCTTTTCACAATCTTTAAATATTTTACTTTGTCATAGAACAGGAATTAGCAAGTTAATCTCATAGACTAATACTGCTGTAATGAGTGTGATCCTCACTTGGTGGATCACAATGGTACTCATTGAGATTAAGCTAAGCTTTGTAAATCTCAATAATCATCATAGAGGAATGATTAGCAAGATTGTCATGCAAGTCATTGAAATTGTAATGAGTTCAATCCTCATAATTCTGGCCAACAAACTATGCTAAGTAAAAAAGAAAAATTTCAATATGTCAAGGGGAGATAACTCTAAGTTAACGGTTAGAGTCATTCTTTCTCTGAGTTTTCTTACTAAGATTAATGAGGAAAATCATAGTTCTGTTTGCAGTCTTCTCTACCAGAAGTAGTTTTCAACATAGAAAGATTTTTTTTTTTCTTAAGTATTTTCCTTTATGACTTTAAGAAATTAGAATAAGCCGTACTTGATGCATTCAGACTCATGTCGTCATCTTAATTGTTACAATAGCAGTGTTTCATCTGTTGTTCCCTTCAACCTTCTTCAGGTGTCATAGTTGGTAACTTCCTGAGAATTTCAAAACAATTCATTTATTCCATCCATAGGGGCATATTGTTCTTATACTGCTGCCTAAGATTAACAAATAAGACCATCTAATTAACCAACAGACATTGAATTGTTTATATTTGTTATAAGGACATGTCCTTGGAGAATATAAGTCATTAAAATCCTTTTTGGTTATTTAGGATCCCTAGTTGTAGAAAATCTTCACTGGATTGTAAAATAAAATTAAAACATTTTTTTTAATTAGAAAAGTTTTTAATACTTTTATGAATAAAATATGTTATGGACACTTCACCTCCACCTTGTCCATTACAACCAGTTGATCAGCTCTACTCCAACACCATATTAGATAGCATTACATAAGCTACCAAAAAAAAAATACAGGAGCTCTTCAGCTTTTAAAAATTAAGATACTTTCTGTAACCCTTAATATTTTAAAGTTTTTCTTTTCTTTTTCTTCTTTCTTTCCTTTTCTATTTTCATTCTCTATTTCTCTCTTCTTTCTTTTTCACTTGCTTTTTTTTTTTTTTTTTTTTTTCAGATATTATATTCTAAATAATTATTTTTTTTTTTTCTTTTCAGATTTATCAGCAATGATAACAGGGGCCAAAGATAACACACAGGTCTTTGTAGAAACGTACCAATTGGATAAAGTTGCTGACATCTTGAAGAATTTTTTCTCCCAGATAAATTAATTCAAAAAATTGAATAAATACAATCAATGGAAAATAAATACCTGTGTGCCTATAATAGTTTTTTTGTCATTTACTTTGATTTTCCAACAAATTCATACTTTTTACTACATGCAATCAACAAACTACTTCGTATAGAGCTCTTAAATAAATTGACCATGCATACTTATTAAAGCTCATAAAATTTTAACATTTTTTTTCCTTTTAGGGTAAAAGAGGAAGGGATCTTTTCTGTTTTGTGAAGATCTTTTTCTTACTTACAGATTATATTTTTGTAATTGTTCACACATTCTCTTTTCTTATTTGTGCTTTGAAAAATCAAGTTTCACTGAATAATTTTTTTTCCTAAAAAAATACACTTTCTACTTTTCATAGTTTTGTTTAATCGGAATACTGCTCTGTTAGTGGCACTAAAAATATGCTAACTGCAGCAGCAGGGTAAGTGGCTACCTTCAAGTAGAATAGGCACTATGACCTGAAATCATTTTTACATATTATTTTAACGAATATAATTTTTATCTTTTTAAATTCTATAAAAGCTGATTGGGGGTAGGAGATGCAGTTTGCTATATAAGTTCATTGTAGATTGGTTACCCCAATGCAAAGCTAAAATAAATATGTTCAAATGACAGGATTTCTTAAAATATAAAAAAAAAATTTTGATTGAAAATTCATAATCTGGACGTTTTTTTTTTTTATATAATACTTTCAATTTTATACTCCAGATTATGAATTTAAATATTTATTTTATTTATTTTTTTTTACATCATGATTTTATTTATTTTGGTTTGCTTTGGGGGATCTATTTACAAGTAATTTAACTAGCAAACTGGACCCCCACCCCCAATTAAATTTTATGCAGTCTAATAAAAAAAATTTTGATATATATTCATGATCTGAAGGGCTTATTCTACAGTGATATCAGCATAAAAATCTTTTTAAAAAAAAGTGATTATTTTTGGTCTGGTTTAAATGATTTCTTGTAAAGAATTTTAAATTTTTTATATAAATATTGTATAATTTTCAATTTTTTTTTCATATTTATAAGCAATGGTAGCAGGAGCCTTTTCACAAATTTCCACTTCATCTCAAATGTTATTTTACCATCTAGTTTGGAGTTTTTTCATTTACTGGCAACTAAATATTCTTATCTTGCCAACACTCCTCCCAGGCCCTTTTTAAACAGGAGTAGAGGTTTATCCCTTATTCATTATTACCTTGCTTGGGGTGAACTGATTAAAACAAAATAAGAAGAAATTAATTAAATTACAAATGAAATAAACTTCAAAATTTTAAACAATTAGTCAATTCTTATTTCAAACTTTCTCAGGTGCTTCTTTTTTTTTTTTTTTTCTTTAGCTAGCAATCAACTGAAGTACATATGGTTAAGGTGAAGTATTAATTTGTAAGCAGGTAAATTTCTGCTTAAAAAAAGGAAAACCGCTATCGATGTGTAGAGTTTGCATTAAACTGACAAAGGCTTTGGTGAATATTTTCTATTTAAAGAATCTGAAAGAAATAAAGGAAGCTTCTTGTTTTCATTATTACATTCATTAATGTGAAAATACCTTTGGGATAGTTATGAATCCATCTTTTCCATCCCCCTGCTATGGGTTAAATACTAGGAAAAATCCTTATGCTCTAAGTTTTAATGCAAAAAATATATTCTTACAATCAAAAATGTGTTTGGCTTTAAATAACCCACAAAGGGTTAACAAACTAAAAAAAAAAAAAAAAAAATCATTGACTTGAATAAATCTAATGAGGAAGAGCATTTTAATTTTAAGTCAAATTCAGAGGTTTTTAAAAGCAATCTTGGGATATGGACCCTCAAATTAATGTAAAAATCAATAAAAGATAACTCAACATTTGCAAAATGGGTTTAAAATTATTTTTATCATATTTTTAATTAACATTTCAGGATGCTTTGTATAAAAAAATTGTACAAAAGGGAGTGCTGGGAAATTCTTGGCACCATCTAGAAGCTTTTCCAAAGTGAAATTTTGATGTTTGGTTATTTGTTCAGAAGCCAAGAACTTAATCATCCACTTTTTATATTACAAATGTTAGAGAACCTCATGAAATATAGCAGTCAGGTTTACTTATGCAAAGAGTCATAAGTGTAGATTGTAAATTAAAAATCAGAGCATGAGTTACTATGAAAGATATGTTTCTGTCAATGAGTACTGAGAATGCCATATACAGAGCATGTGACAAATGAGGAAGTTCTTAGGAGAATAAGAACTATAATGGAATCTTTGTGATGTACAATAAGAAAAGAAGAAAACGGAAAAAAAACATTAAAATCTTAGCTATTTAAGAATTGTGTGTGTCTCTGTGATACATGTGTATGTGTGTAAGAGTTCATTTAACTGGGGAAAAGAGATTTTCTCCAGCTGGGACACCTTCATCTATATACTGCAGCATCTTGGAACAAGAGGAAGGAAATTTTGACTTTTTATAGACTTAAACATTGCTATCTAACTGGTATTTGGTAAAACAAAGTGAGGTAATCTATAAGTTCATTAACTACTATATTTTGCTATTCACTGAGGTATAAAGCTGAGAATTACCATACAATATTGATTCCCATGTCTACACTTTCTATATCTATAAGAACTATCTCTGATAGTGAGCAATCTTCTCTTATATAGACATTTTAAACAATATGTATGATTGCTATAAACATTGTATTTTGTGGGTACATGTTTGAGTAGAGATCCCTAGTTGTTTTTTAAACAGTGTAGTCAATGTCTCCCAACCTAGAAATTGAGAAATCCTACTGAAGAAAATATGCCTCCCAATAGGTATCAATAGCAATTTGTGTAAAGAAGAAGAGTGGGGTTGATTCTCATTGGTTTAGAATCGGTGAATTAATGATAATTATAATTGTTATAATTATTTTATTATTGACATTATAATTTTCATTTATTTTTTATAGACACAACAAATAATGCTCTCTTTCGTAGATTGAGCACTTTGGAAGAAAGGGAATTTGTCAGCTACTGCTAATTAATACTAAAAGCTTCTCACTATGAATTAAATCCTTCTGGTAGTCAGTAATACTTATATCTCGTATATAATGCATTAAAAATTCCCTTTCTTCATAGCATGCGCTGATAGTCTCTGACTGATGTGTAATTGGTCAGGTTTTGATCCTGGCTTGCTGGCTTGAACCAAGCGCATGTCTAGCTACACTGATGAGCTGTGATACAGCAAAACAGTCTGTCTGTGGATGACATATATGGAAGTATGTGTGTATATCTTCATATATATCTATATCTTAGTGTCTTGGAATGCTAGCTAAAATCTACTTTTGTTTGATAATGGTTTTATAATTGCTTATAGACTTTATAAGCAACAATTGTGTCTCATTACATTTTAATCTTGTATGGACTTTACAGTCCTTTATTGTCACTAAGATAATATTGTTAGAATATGTGTGGGTTCATGTATGTATATGTCTATGTGTGTGTGTATATATATATGTATCTGTAGGTATACATATATATGTATATAT